AACCCCATCTATAAATATATTAAACAACTAGGTGACATCACACATCCTTGTCTAAGGCCTACTTTTACTGGGAATAATTTCCCTCTTTCCTACATATTTAAAACTTGAGCCTCACTATCCTCATAAAAACTCTTCACTGCTTTCAGTAACCTACCTCCTACACCATACACCTGCACATCTGCACATTGCCTCCCTATCCACCCTGTCATACGCCTTTTCCAAGTCCATAAAGCCACAAAGACCTCTGTAGCCTTATTAAATACTGTTCACTTATATGTTTCACTGTAAACACCTGGTCCACACACCCCCTACCTTTCCTAAAGCCTCCTTGTTCATCTGCTATCCTATTCTCAGTCTTACTCTTAATTCTTTCAATAATAACTCTACCATACACTTTACCAGGTATACTCAACAGACTTATCCCCCTATAATTTTTGCACTCTCTTTTTTCCCCTTTGCGTTTATACTAAGGCACTATGCACGCCCTCTGCCAATCCCAAGATACCTTACCCTCTTCCATACATTTATTAAATAACAGCACCAACCACTCCAAAACTATATCCTCGCCTGCTTTTAACATATCTATCTTTATCCCATCAATCCCGGCTGCCTTACCCCTTTTCATTCTACCCACTGCCTCACGAACTTCCCCCACACTCATAACTGGCTCTTCCTTACTCCTACAAGATGTTATTCCTCCTTGCCCTAGACACAAAATCACAGCTTCCCTATCTTCATCAACATTTAATTCTTCAAAATATTCCTTCCATCTTCCTGATACCTCTAACTCTCCATTTAATAACTCTACTCTGTTTTTAACTGACAAATCCATTTGTTCCGTAGGCTTCCGCAACTGTAAAATTGAATACTAAAAGAAACTAACTGAAATACTGTCCAGTAAATAAAAATTTTACTGCCTCTTACCTGTCAGAGGAGAGCTAATGGCATACTGGAAGCAGGAGGTGGAGGAGAGGAGTGGGTATGTTACTGCTTGGAAGGAGAGTCACCTTCTATTAATGACAAGCACTGTATTTCTGGTGTTTGTTTCTCTTCTTTGTCTCTTTCACCATTAACACCTTGTTCTGGCCCACTGGTTCTTTGTCTCACTAAAAACCTGTCCAGTGAGGTTTGTTTCAAGCTCTGTTTTAACACTTGTCTAACTTGAGATATTACACTGTCACTGTACATGTTAGAGAGATGGCCACTGCTTTGTCTGGATGGTATTCTTCAGCAAACTCCTGCACTTCATGCCATATAGTACACATTTCCTTGACAAGTGTAATGGGATCATCATCCCTTCCCTCTTCCTCTGATGACAGCTCTTCTGCTGCAATCTGCTGCTGCTCCTCCTTCTGAAGGTCTACAAGTTCTTGTGTGGTGAGTTCAGTTTTATGCTCCTCCACCCACTCCACCACATGATCTTCAGTTAACCTCTAGGCCCAAGGTCTTCCCCAGACAATATCCTCTACTGGCTCAGACTCATCTTTCAAAGCCTTCAAAATCCCTGGCTGCCAAAAAGTCAGGTCACAATTTCTTCCATGCTGACTGCATGGTCATGGAAGACAAATTTTCTCAGGCTCTGTCTATAAGTCTAAGGCGCCTAGGTGAGGATATTGAAATAGTCTTACTTTGGACCCATGACGGATTATCTTACAATATTTTGCAGTTTTGGTTCTCCAAAACTGCAAAATAACAAAAAAAAAAAAAAATTCACAAGATGCACAACAAAAGCTCAAGAGAGGTTTACAACACACGAGTTACTGAGCATGTGACCCGAGCCATTTGTGTTGTTGGTCAACAGCCAAGAGAATGTACAAAAATCAGGATATTTTTTCTCAAATTTCTCGTTCGAAAACAGATTGGTTAGACAATGTAGTCGATAACCGAGGTTCCACTGTACTGTATTAACTTTTATCTATAATGTTTTCGTTTATCAAATGTTAACTACTAAATTTATTATTTATAGATTAATACTAATTCAAATGAGGTACTCCATATAACTGTTATGAATTTCCCTTTTAATTCTTTAATGAAGATACATCGTTCAACCTAGGGAAGGTAACTATGCAATGAGGGCTATCTGATAGTCTCCTCAGGTCTCATGATACATGGGCAAGAAAGTAACCGTTCATTAAACACCGTATTCATAACAAACAGCAAAACAATTTTTCAAGCCTTTCATATCCTATCTCTAAAATCCACTTGTATAGCCCCACTTCATAAAGGTGGCAGCAAAACAATCATAAAACTATGGATAAACAGTAATCATATGACACTTTGGCCAAATTTCTGAAAATATAAAAGACACAAAATAAAAATTTTACACGCTTCAGGACAATATGGATTTAGAGAAAGATACTTCCGACTTTCATAGCTGTTAGACCACTATGACATTGTTTTGGACACACTGCAAGACAAGTAAAATGCCTACAATATTTTCCATCACTTTTAAAAGAATAAATGTTGATGATAGTTATCCGTATTCACGGGCATTGAGTTCTGGCTCCTGTTGTTTACAGTTTACCTGTTCAAGATTTGGGAGATAACCACTCCTGTCACTCAGACTGGGACTAGACCTCTCAACTGATGGCTTCATCAGTAAAACTACTGCTACTTGTGGCACACAATTCAATGTTGGCTTAGCTGATCAGGAATGGTTTCTAGGAATCTGTCAAATTCTCTGTTAAAAATAATTTGGGGATTGTTAATGATTTCCCCTTATATTTAATGAATGCTGAAAAGCACACAGGACACTTTAAGCTTATTGAGCTGTCTGTAACCAGCTGTGGGCAGTGAAAGTTTTCTGCACATTTTGCAGATCTCCAATTTTATCAGCCTTAAATATTCCAGCATAGAGAGCACAGATAACATAAACAATATCATTGGCATGGTATATCTTGCTCTAAAAATTTTGTAATTCAGCAGCTGTGATAGTAACATTATTAAGATCCTTCAAATAAAGAGCGAGTCTGACATAATAATCCATTAGGTTCTTGAAAAATCCTCTTCTATCAAGTGGCTTGACTGCATTTTATGCTCTGCTAAAATATTAATTTCTTTGGCTTTCCTACAGTGAACTGATTTTTTTTCCTAATGGAACATTCTAGTTTTCTGTGGGCAAGAGGAAGACTTGGTTTACTTTCAGCTTGGAGATTTGCTGCATCCTCAATGACTGCCATTCATAAAAATTTTTATAGTGTCTGCAACAGTTAATTCAGCACTATGATTTTTTTGTCTGTCAGAATTGAGAATAAAAAAAAATTAAGAGGATTAGGGAGGGTACATAAAAAACACTAATTGCAGTAATGTTCTTTACCGGTGCAATGTTTCAACCACATGTGGGTTTGTTGCATAGCATATAGGTAAAAAAAAAAAAAAACCCACTTGTATGTGGAAATTTTATACAAATAAAGGACCTAACTGCAATTAATGTCTTTCACCACTTGTTGGCACTGCACCTTCAGTTTGCACTGGGAGAGTAATGCATCTTAAGGAACAGAGCTTGTTTTTATTTTGTTGACTATTGCACTTTTGGTCAGATTTGTTACCCATTGTTTTGCACTCATTCTGTGTGCCATGATTATAACGACATTGCTTATGATGCCATGATTATGATGACACTGCTTAGCTTGCACTGCATCTAAAACCATATCACAGTGATGCAGCATCCTACTCTAAATCCATGAATTTGCATGCAAACACTATTGCACACAAGTTAAATATACTGTAGATTTGAAATTTACATTAATCTATTAAGAAAAATATATTAATACAATATAACCTAGAAGTGCATTGAATTTTCAATTATTATGAGTTCACAGGTCTTTTCCATACAGCTCAAGTTCACTTCATATACAGTATTTATATAATAATTTTGTGATATAATTTCTAATGTAAAAACTGATATGCCTGATTTTTACCATTTTACTTTTACTTTTTAATTTTTTTTACAGATGAACATGTCCAATTTAATCATAATAGGTACACAGTGTTTAGTATCTACTAAGACCGTTAATATACTATGGCAAATTACCCAATTTTCTGAAGTGAAATGTTATCTTTACCTTTATCTGGCAACTAAATAAACAGTGTGGAAAGAATATCATTAAAGTGAACAAATTAAACAGTATACAGACCAATTAAAATATATACCACACAATTATGATGCAACAGCATATTCTTTTATTTATAAGTGTTCAAACAATGAAAACTCAATGACAATTTTCAGGATAGATTAAAACTAGATCTAAGCTATGTACACTTTTCCCTGACAAAATGTTGGCTAAAAGTACAATACTTCTAAGTAAATCAGTAAAGAATTTATGCTCATTCTTGTTAGTAACTTCAACACAAAAATAAGAAAATGAGATAAAACAAAGCAAGTGTGCATAATCTAATGACAGTAAAGTATGTACTTGAAAATACAATACTGCCAGAACATTACCTTCAAACCTGATTAAGAAGGATAGAATATAAAGATGACCATAAACAGGCAACAAGATTATGGAAAAAATTATCCACGTACTGTAGTAGCAATGCATTAATGTGTATAGCAGCAGGATGGTTGTGTGAGAAAAGTTCTGTTATTAACTTTAAAATGAATATGAGCAAATTATGAAATAGCATTATGATGCACAGACAAGACCATACAGTGTACCCAGGAATACCAATCTGAGAATATGATTAACTATAAAGATATACATATACATATATACTAATAACAAAGGAAGCAGAAGAGTGATGCAAGAAGTACAACATTATTTAGGCCATTAGACTAAAAGCAATTAAGAGTGTTCAGCCAAGAAAACAAGGAAAAAGTTTACTCAGATTATAAGGCATAAAAAAAAAGTCATTCAGAGCAGTCTACCAGGCAGACAGGCCCAACTCCACAGCTTAAGAACAAAAAAAAAGCTTGATTCCATCAAATACAATAAGTGGATGATTGTGTTAGATGCGAGATGATTAGAGAGGAGAAGAAGAAAGGAAAATATTCTACCCACCGGTCCTGGCTTGGAAGGTGTCTGTGTGCCAATTGACTCCCGCACCACCTTGTGTCCCTCCTCGTCCTCCGCCACTTCCGTGTTTTGCTTGATTTGCTGCAAAATGAGTCCTGGTAATTCCTCAACCACAATGAGAATATAAATATATTTTTTTTTTTCAACAAGTCGGCAGTCTCCCACCGAGGCAGGGTGACCCAAAAAAGAAAGAAAATCCCCAAAAAGAAAATACTTTCATCATCATTCAACACTTTCACCACACTCGCACATTATCACTGTTTTTGCAGAGGTGCTCAGAATACAACAGTTTAGAAGCATACACATATAAAGATACACAACATATCCCTCCAAACTGCCAATATCCCAAACCTCTCCTTTAAAGTGCAGGCATTGTAATTCCCATTTCCAGGACTCAAGTCCGACTATATGAAAATAACCGGTTTCCCTGCATCCCTTCACTAAATATTACCCTGCTCACACTCCAACAGATCGTCAGGTCCCAAGTACCATTCGTCTCCATTCACTCCTATCTAACACACTCACGCACGCTTGCTGGAAGTCCAAGCCCCTTGCCCACAAAACCTCCTTTACCCCCTCTCTCCAACCCTTTCGAGGACGACCCCTACCCCGCCTTCCTTTCCCTATAGATTTATATGCTTTCCATGTCATTCTACTTTGATCCATTCTCTCTAAATGACCAAACCACCTCAACAACCCCTCTTCTGCCCTCTGACTAATACTTTTATTAACTCCACACCTTTTCCTAATTTCCACACTCCGAATTTTCTGCATAATATTTACATAATATATGCTCAGCAAAACACTGGCACAGCAAAAAACATTTTAAAGTGCATTATAAGTCAACATGGTATTTGTTAATAGAATAAAAAAATTATTAAATTATTAAATGTCTGAGTACCTGAGAGTTACCTAAAGATTATTTCAGAAACCAATGCCCCAGCAGCCTGGTCCCAGACCAGGCCTCTTGGATGATGGTCTGATCAACCAGGATGCTGATGACAGGCACATGGAGACCAACACAGATACCACAGACCAGCTGATCAGGAACTGACTTGAGGAACTTATCAAGTTCTCTTTTGAAGACAGCTAGAGGACACTTAGTGATTCCCTTATTTATGAAGAGGAGGGGACACTGAAACATCTTGGTCCTCCTCACACTTATTGTACTCACTATACCCCTGCTTTTCAGTGGAAGCACTTTGCACTGTTTGCCGAGCCTTTTTCTTTCATAGGGAGATCCATATTTCTGTGTGCATATTTGAGACCTATTCCTTCTACATTCCCAGCAATGCTGAGCATTTCTCCATGAGATACCCATGAGCAAGATATGTATGTCTACTACATAAGCAGGAGTATAGTCTTCCAAATATGACAGCGATGATAAGCTAAACAGAAACCTAAACAAGGTCTGACAGAATGCAATTTATCATGGACCAACTCAGACCACCATTACTGCCAGTGGTTGCAAAGTTGTCAAGAGATAACTGCAAAATAGTCTGAGAATGGAATATGCTTATATGTAATGGGAAGGTCATGAATGGCTGACCACACAGCAGTCTGCCTGCTCATTTCCCCAAACATCTACATGTCCACAGACCAGGACGAAAATGTTTGTTTGCTAGAAATGTGGTGCAACCAAAGTTGTATACAAAGAAAATTCATATGGGCTATAAGTTCTTTGTGCATTCTTCACATCTGAACTGAGAGTTAGCATCCCTTAATTTTTATAAAGCCTTTTGGGCTTTAAATTAGGTTTTGGGTTGTACTTGTAAGATGTATTAATCTTTCATTACATACTGCATACAGTATTTAAAAATATGGTGACTGCATCCTAAATGTTAAACTTTCATGGGCCTTGTAATTAGAAATGCAAAGTCTTGATGTAGAAGGCCAATGAGGGGGGGGGGCTAATTCATCGCCCTAATGTCTTTATCTTAACTATCTTTGTGTGGATTCTAACTCCTTTTCTTTCCAAGGTACAGTACATTCAAACTTTTGAGGTTGCTTTATTCAATGCATATGAAATATTTTAAAATTAATCTACTTACCACTATTAATATATCCTCACTATATACTAGATGCCACTGGCTATATTATCTTGGTCTCTTTCAACTTTCTTTTCTACTTTTTGCTCTTAGCTATTTACAGTGTTAAGTTTAAAGCTGAAATGAAATATAACTTCTCTCTGATGCTTATGACCATCAGTGTTACTTTTTTTTTTCCGTCTATGACAGTGTCATGTATATTTGTTGTTTTTGCCATACACTATCTGTTACGAATGGTGTCCTAGTTTCTTGCTTCCTTTGTGCCCTGTGCATTTGTGATTCTCATTTTTTTTTATTACAGTAATATTTCTTTTCTAATATCTCATCCTCTCAATTTGGATATCCTTTTAATTTCACTAACAAGTCAGGTGTTTACACAATTTCCTGTTCTTCGTGCCATCTCCATTACAGGGCAGAAATGACACTTTTTCCAACATACTTAAAAAACACACAAGTGTCTCCTTTCCTAACACTAACAATGCTCTTTCTTATTATGTTAAAGACCATGGTCATCCCCTTAGCTGATGCTCTGCCAAAATTATCTACTGGCTCTTTTAGCCTTACAGACTCCCTGTTAAACTAGCCCTTGTACACAATATCCCTAATATGAATCCTGTCCCCTGCCTTGGTGGGAGATGGCTGATGTGTTAATAAAAAAAAAATAATCATTAACCAAATTGGTTTGAGACCATGCCACAGGGATTGGACTGGAAATCATCACAACTCTAATTATGGTATTTATGTTTAAAAATGCTCTAACAAGTTTCAAGACTTTATATGATTTTTTTTTCAATGACCAGACCATATCTCACCAAGGCAGGGTGGCCCAAAAAGAAAAACTAAAGTTTCTCTTACTTAATATGATAAAGGGGTTAAATAATTGTAACTAAATAAAACATTATTACTTAAATTTATTACTTAAATTTTAAGGAAATTTTAAGAAATGCCCACAGCTCTGGCTGTGGGCATTTCTTTCATATGTCAATATATAGTGTTATTATTGAGTTGTAGGTCTAACCTGCAGCTTGGCTAGTGGGATAATGTCACAGTTCTGCGGTCGGTGCCACACTGTCTTCTGTGATGTGGCATTGTAGTAATAAAACCGTGAAGTGTTGATGTCGAATAGTTCCCACCACTGGTTGTCATCGAACTTCTTCCTGTTGAGGGAAAACAACACTTAGTTTGGTAATCAATGCACTAACTGACAGGTGATGGCAATTTTTTTCCCTATGATTCTTTTCATCTAAACAGTACTCTGATGTTATGGTTATAAAAAAAAAATATGACTGGTTTTGTTGTCATTCATGGTTTTGTCACTGCACATGTTTTCCATTATTTTTAGAAAGATATAGTGGTCCCTTGAGTTACAATATTAATCTGTTCTAGATGTCCTGTATCTCCAAAATATCATAACTCAAACCCCAAAATACATGGTTTTATGGTAATTCGTTCCAAGACTCTAGAACACATCCAACCCTACCCTTGGATACTTTTTGTCATTTAAACATGCTGGGGCTTTCCAAGTCATAAACAAGCATAGACAGCAGCTTGAAATACATATCCCCCCCCACACACACACATACACACTCACACACACAGTTAATGAGATGATGGAATATGTAGCAACAAAATGCAAGGAGGCTGAGGAGAGGTTTGTACCCAAGGGTAACAGGAATAATGAAAAAGCCAGGATGAGCCCATGGTTTACCCAAAGGTGCAGGGAGGCAAAAACCAAGTGTGCTAGGGAATGGAAGAAATATAGAAGGCAAAGGACCCTGGAGAATAAGGAGAGCAGTCGTAGAGCCAGAAACGAATATGCACAGATAAGAAGGGAGGCCCAAAGACAATATGAAAATGACATAGCAGCGAAAGCCAAATCTGACCCGAAACTGTTGTACAGCCACATCAGGAGGAAAACAACAGTCAAGGACCAGGTAATCAGGCTAAGGAAGGAAGGAGGAGAGACAACAAGAAATGACCGTGAAGTATGTGAGGAACTCAACAAGAGATTCAAAGAAGTGTTCACAGAGGAGACAGAAGGGGCTCCAGAAAGACGGAGGGTGGGGCACACCACCATGTGCTGGACACAGTGCACACAACCGAGGAAGAAGTGAAGAGGCTTCTGAGTGAGCTAGATACCTCAAAGGCAATGGGGCCAGATAACATCTCCCCATGGGTATTGAGAGAGGGAGCAGAGGCACTATGTGTACCCCTAACAACAATATTCAATACATCTATCGAAACAGGGAGATTGCCTGAGGCATGGAAGACAGCAAATGTAGTCCCAATGTTTAAAAAAGGAGACAGACATGAAGCATTACACTACAGACTAGTGTCACTGACATGTATAGTATGCAAAATCATGGAGAAGATTATCAGGAGAAGAGTGGTGGAACACCTAGAAAGGAACGATCTCATCAACAGCAGCCAACATGGTTTCAGGGACGGGAAATCCTGTGTCACAAACCTACTGGAGTTCTATGACATGGTGACAGCAGTAAGACAAGAAAGAGAGAGAGGAGTGGGTGGATTGCATATTCTTGGACTGCAAGAAGGCATTTGACACAGTTCCACACAAGAGATTGGTGCAAAAACTGGAGGACCAAGCAGGGATAACAGGGAAGGCACTACAATGGATCAGGGAATACTTGTCAGGAAGACAGCAGCGAGTCATGGTACGTGGCGAGGAGTCAGAGTGGGCACCTGTGACCAGCTGGGTCCCACAGGGGTCAGTCCTAGGACCAGTGCTGTTTCTGGTATTTGTGAACGACATGACGGAAGGAATAGACTCTGAGGTGTCCCTGTTTGCAGATGACGTGAAGCTGATGAGAAGAATTCACTCGATCGAAGACCAGGCAGAACTACAAAGGGATCTGGACAGGCTGCAGACCTGGTCCAGCAATTGGCTCCTGGAGTTCAATCCCACCAAGTGCAAAGTCATGAAGATTGGGGAAGGGCAAAGATGACCGCAGACGGAGTACAGTCTAGGGGGCCAGAGACTACAAACCTCACTCAAGGAAAAAGATCTTGGGGTGAGTATAACACCAGGCACATCTCCTGAAGCGCACATCAACAAAATAACTGCTGCAGCATATGGGCGCCTAGCAAACCTCAGAACAGCATTCCGACATCTTAATAAGGAGTCATTCAGGACCCTGTACACCGTGTACGTTAGGCCCATATTGGAGTATGCGGCACCAGTTTGGAACCCACACCTAGCCAAGCACATAAAGAAACTAGAGAAAGTGCAAAGGTTTGCAACAAGACTAGTCCCAGAGCTAAGAGGTATGTCCTACGAGGAGAGGTTAAGGGAAATCAACCTGACGACACTGGAGGACAGGAGAGATAGGGGGGACATGATAACGACATACAAAATACTGAGAGGAATTGACAAGGTGGACAAAGACAGGATGTTCCAGAGATTGGACACAGTAACAAGGGGACACAGTTGGAAGTTGAAGACGCAGATGAATCACAGGGATGTTAGGAAGTATTTCTTCAACCACAGAGTAGTCAGTAAGTGGAATAGTTTGGGAAGCGATGTAGTGGAGGCAGGATCCATACATAGCTTTAAGCAGAGGTATGATAAAGCTCACGGCTCAGGGAGAGTGACCTAGTAGCGATCAGTGAAGAGGCAGGGCCAGGAGCTCTGACTCGACCCCCGCAACCTCAACTAGGTGAGTACACACACACACACACACACACACACACACACACACACACACTCTCTCGAGTCACAGGGATGTTAGGAAGTATTTTTTCACTTATATTGTTGTCAGGAAGTGGAACAATCTGGAGAGAAATGTAGTGGAGGCAGGATCCACACACAGCTTTGAGAAGAGGTACAATAAAGGCTTTTGGAGCAGGGAGAGAGTGGACCTAGTAGCGACCAGTGAAGAGGCAGGGTCAGGAGCTGCAAATCAACCCCTGAAACCACAAATAGGCGAGTACATACACATACACACACACACACCCCAAAGCTCTTGTTCATGGATGTATTAATACATGTACCACTCATGAAGACCGGTATTCCAAATTGGAGGAGAATGAAATTAGTCCAGTAGCTTACATGGTCATGTATGTGTTTGCATCAGGGGTGACATGTCCAGTAGTACTGGGAACCTAATGTGTGAAGCATTGATAACTGAGTGGACTAAGGTACAGTGGAACCTCAAATTTCGAACGCATTGCTTATCGAACTCTTCGAAAATCGACCGCTTTTTTCGAACCAACTTTATCGAACTTAACCCCTATTTTCAAACCGCCGGGTACCGGACCTGTCTGCCAGCCCGCTCTGTCCACATCCCCGCGCAGGTGCCATGAGCCAGTATGGTTTTGTTGATGCTTGAGTGAACACTAACCTGCGCTCTCATTCAAACATTTTACGATTGATTCATTGTGTTTAGTGCTTGTGGGACTGTGAAATAAGCTACCATGGGCCCAAAGAAACTTGCTAGTGGTACCCCTGTGGTAAAGAAAGTGAAAAACGCCACAGATGTGAAGAAGGAAATAATACGGAAGTATGAGAGTGGTGTGAAAGTTGTCGAGCTTGCCAGGATGTATGGGAAAAACAAGTCGACCATCGCTTCTATCCTGGCAAAGAAAGAACAAATCAAGACAGAAAAGGGAAGTAACCCCAGAGAGGGCTTTGATACCTAAAGTCCTTATGGAGAGGGATTCCCCTTCCAAACACTAACCCCAACTCCCTCTCTCCTTCTCCCTATCTTCCAGATGCCATCACCAATCTTCAATAAAAGTAAGTAAAAATGTTATTTTATATGTTTATTTAAATTTATTAATACATAATTGTACACCATATTTGTTGTGTGTATGTAAAACTATAATTAATCTCTGTAAAATGTATTTTTTTTGTGAATATTTTTGGGTGTTTGGAACAGATTAATTGTATTTCCATTATTTCTTATGGGAAATATTGCTTCGCTTTTCAAACTTTTCAAATTTAGAACCAGCTCCTGGAACAGATTAAGTTGGAAATTTGAGGTTCCACTGTACCTTGGAATTTTTGTGGGCTTTGCGGGAGATGTGTTAAAATATCAGGGGTTCCATTCCTGGCCAGTCACAGTGCTGTGTTATATGGTATGACCTACATTATTTTTTATTATTTATTAACACACTGGCCGATACCCACCAAGGCAGGGTGGCCCGAAAAAGAAAAACTTTCACCATCATTCACTCCATCACTGTCTTGCCAGAGGGGTGCTTTACACTACAGTTTTTAAACTGCAACATTAACACCCCTCCTTCAGAGTGCAGGGCACTGTACTTCCCATCTCCAGGACTCAAGTCCGGCCTGCCAGTTTCCCTGAACCCCTTCATAAATGTTACTTTGCTTACACTCCAACAGCACGTCAAGTATTAAAAACCATTTGTCTCCATTCACTCCTATCAAACACGCTCACACATGCCTGCTGGAAGTCCAAGCCCCTCGCACACAAAACCTCCTTTACCCCCTCCCTCCAACCTTTCCTAGGCCAACCCCTACCCCGCCTTCCTTCCACTACAGACTGATACACTCTTGAAGTCATTATGTATATTCATTCATTCTGGGTAGTAGGTTGGTAGACAGCAACTGCCCAGGGAGGTACTACTGTTCTGCCAGGTGAGTGTAAAATGAAAGCCTGTAATTGTTTTACATGATGGTAGGATTGCTGGTGTCCTTTTTTCTGTCTCATAAACATGCAAGATTTCAGGTATGTTTGGCTACTTCTACTTACACTTAGGTCATGCTACACATACATGTACAAGCATATATATACACACCCCTCTGGGTTTTCTTCTACAGTGGAACCTCAAAAATCGAACTTAATCCGTTCCAGGAGCTAGTTCTAAATTCGAAAAGTCTGAAATTCGAAGCAATATTTCCCATAAGAAATAATGGAAATACAATTAATCCGATCCAGAAACCCAAAAATATTCACACAAAAAATACATTTTATAGAGATTAATTACAGTTTTACATACAACAAATACAGTGGACCCCCGGTATTCGATATTAATCCGTTCCTGATAGCTCATCGAATACCAATAATATCGAAAACCGAATCAATTTTCCCCATAAGAAATAATGGAAATCAAATTAATCCTTGCAAGACACCCAAAAGTATGAAAAAAAAATTTTTACTACATGAAATATTAA